GACAGCTGGGGGGCTGCTGGGTTGGTCCCACAGCGCTGAGGTGCGGCGCTACTGGACCAACCCGGCAGCACCCCAGCTGCTCTGACCAGCAGCGGGACACGCCTGGGGCAGTTTCAACAGTGGCTGAATCTGGACGCCAGTTCCGACTTACATACAAATTCAACTTAAGATCAAACCTACGGTCCCTATCTTGTACGTAACCCAGCTGGGGGGCTGCTGGGTTGGTCCCACAGCGCTGAGGTGCGGCGCTACTGGACCAACCCGGCAGCACCCCAGCTGCTCTGACCAGCAGCGGGACACGCCTGGGGCAGTTTCAACAGTGGCTGAATCTGGACGCCAGTTCCGACTTACATACAAATTCAACTTAAGATCAAACCTACGGTCCCTATCTTGTACGTAACCCAGGGACTGCCTGTACTTGAGAATGCAGGTGAGTTATCAGGAAGGTGAAAGTACAATTGGAATTGCAGCTAGCAAGGTACGTGAAGGATTACAAGAAGGGTTTCTACAGGCATGTTAGCAATAAGAGGGCAATTAGAGAAGGTGTGGGACCCTTACTGGATGAGGGAGGTAACCTAGTGACAGATGATGTGGGAAAAGCTAAAGTACTCAATGCTTTCTTTGCCTCTGTCTTCACGGACAAGGTCAGCTCCCCAAACAAATGCACTAGGCAACGCAGTATGGGAAGGAGATGGACAGCCCTTGGTGGTGAAAGAACAAGTTAGGAACTATTTAGAAAAGCTAAACACACACAAATCCATGGGCCCGGATTTAATGCATCTGAGAGTACTGAGGGAGTTGGCAAGTGTCATTGTGGAATCTTTGGCCATTATCTTTGAAAACTTGTGGAGATGAGGAGGGATCCCAGATGATTGGAAAAAGGCAAATGTAGTGCCCATCTTTTTGAAAGGGAAGGACGACAATCCATGGAACTACAGACCAGTCAGCCTTACCTTAGTGCCTGGAAAAATCATGGAGGGGATCCTTAAGGAATCCTATTGAGGCACTTGCAGGAGGAGAAAGTGGTCAGGCAGGACTTGCCCTTTGTGAATCCATGTTGACTATTACTGATCAATCTGATTAGCTTCTACGGTGTGGTAACTGGCTCCGTGGATATGGGAAAGTCAGTGGACGTGATATACCTTGACTTTAGCAAAGCTTTTGATACAGTCTCCCACAATATTCTTGCCAGCAAGTTAAGGGACTATGGATTGGCTAAGTGGACTGTAAGATGGATAGGAAGCTGGCTAGACTGTCATGCCCAATGGGTAGTGATCAACGGCTCAATGTCAGATTGGCAGTTGGTTTCTAGACGAGTGCCCCGAGGATCTGTTCGAGGACCGGTTTGTTGAACATCTTTATTAATGACCTGGATGAGGGAATGGATTGCACCCTCAGCAAGTTCGCAGATGACACTAAGCTAGGGGGAGAGGTAGATACACTGGAGGACAAAGATAAGGTCCAGAGTGACCTGGGCCAAAAGAAATCTGATGAGGGTCAACAAGGACAAGTGTAGAGTCCTCCCCTTGGGACGGAAGACTCCCAAGCATTGTTATATGCTGGGGACCGACTGCCTAAGTAGCAGCTCTGCAGAAAAGGACCTGGGGACTGCAGTTGATGAGAATCTGGATGTGAGTCAACAGTGTGCTGTTGTAGCCAAGAAGGCAAATGGCATAATAGGGCTCATTAGGAGGAGTATTGTTAGCAGATCCAGAGAAGTGATTATTCCCCTTTATAGGGCTTTGAGGCCACATCTGGAGTATTGTGCCCTATAGTGGAGGGCCCAGAACTAAAAGGATGTGGATGCATTGGAGAGGGTCCAGCAGAGGGCGACCAAAATTATTAGGGGGCCTGGAGCGCAGGCCTATGAAGAGAGACTGAGGGATTTGGGCTTGTTTAGTCTGCAGAAGAGAAGAGTGGTGGTGGTGGTGGGGGATTTGATAGCAGCCTTCAACTTCCTGAAGGGAGTCCCAAAGAGGCTGGAGAAAGGCTGTTCTCAGTAGTGACAGATGGCAGAACAAGGAGCAATGGTCTCAATTTACAGTGGGAGAGGTCTAGGTTGGATATTAGGAAAAACTATTTCACTAGGAGGATGGTGAAGCACTGGAATGGGTTATCTAGAGAGGTGGTAGAATCTCTATCCCTAGAGGTTTTTTAAGTCTCGGCTTGACAAAGCTCTGGCTGGGTTAATTTAGTTGGGATTGGTCCTGCCTTGGGCGGGGGCCTGGACTTGACCTCCTGTGGTTTCTTCCAGTTCTTTGACTTAGCCTCAGACCAGGGCATGCAGCCTCAACGGGACCTTAGGCTGATCCTCTCCAGGCTTACCAGTCTGCCTTTTGAACTGATGGCCAAGTGCTCCCTTCTGCACGTGTCCTGGAAGGTGCCCTTCATCCTGGCTATTATATCAGCTAGGAGGATCATTAAGATACAGGCTTTGATTTTGAAACCCCTATATACAATCTTCCACCCAGCTTTCCTCGCTAAGATGGTCTCTGCATTTTACAGGTCAGGATATTTTCCTCCCGGTCTTCTCCTTGAAGCCTCATGTGATTTCCAAGGGGAGGTAGCTGCGTACTTGAATGTTCATAGTGTCCTTGTGTTGAATATTGGCAGAACTGCTTTGTTCCGTCATCACCCCTGCTCTTAGTTGCTTATGCTGAGCAGATGATGAGGCTCCCATTTTCCAGACAATGAGTGTCTAATTGAATAACCTCCTGCATTCAGACATGCTTATCAGCTAGTGGGTGCTGAGCTGCCCTTGATGATCAGGGCTTATTTGTCCAGATTGCAAGACTCCTTGGTGGCCTTCCTTGCTGAAGTTCCTGTCCTGGGCACTTGTAAGGCTGCATCATGGTCTCTGTGCACACCTTTGCCATGCACTGCTGCAACAAGCCAAAGAGGATACTGCCTTTGGAAGAGCTGTGTTGCAGTCGGCATGTCAGTGAATGGACATAAGCAATCACTCAATGAGAGGATTGTTACCCCTTTCTGTAACTGATGTTCTTCAAGATGAGTTGCTCATGTCTAACTTCCCACCCTCCTCCTCCACTGACCCTCTACTGACGGAGTTGTGTAGCAAGAAGTAAGTGTGAAAAGGACCAGAGGTGCCCTATATAATATGGCTTGTGACTACCACTACAGGGGCACCTGAGGTGGTTTTCCTACAGGTACTTCTAAGGAAAATATTCTGGCACTGGTTCATGGGACAAGCGAATGCACCTAAGGTGAATGGACATGAGCAACACATGTCGAACACTAGTTACAGAAACAGGTAACTGTCGTTTGTTTGTTTGTTTGTTCCTTTTCCCTTTCCCAAAGCGATCTGACCACAGTTTTTAGGGGCAACGGTGAATGGAAAGCTTTTAGAATGATTTTCCAGTTTAGAGGCAGGTTCCAACATTGGTATAACTTTAGGCTGGGCAAAAAGTATATCATAGACTACAAAACACATTACTAAAATTCTGCGTGTGGATGTGCATTTTAAGGATGTTAACTAGCAGTTAATTTACTAGTGGGTCCCTAGTACGCTTCAAAAGAGGAATGTGGAACTCTGCGTGCAGGCTGGGGCCAGCGGGAACTCCTGCTGACTCCAGGCTGCATGCAGGGCCAGCTTTGAAATGTACAAGATGCCTTAGCAGGAATCTCCATCCTTAGAGGTTAAGGCCAGGCTTGACAAAGCCATGGCTGGAATGATTTATTTGTAGTTGATTCTACTTTTAGCAGGGGATGGACTACAATGTTTCTCACCCAGTGGTACGAGTACCCTTAGGGATACTCCAAGTCTGGGGTGGGGAGTACATCAATACAACTGAAATTTAGAGAGAACTGAATTTTTGTGTCAAATTTGACAGCGCTTTATTATTTTTATACTTTTTACACCTAATTTCATTGCCTGCCCGGCTACAATTAACTTGTTTAAACAAATGTGTTGCAATGGTAGAAAAACTTGTGTGTCTGAAAACTGTAGTACTGGGGGTACTTATAAATTATAAGTACCCCCTTTCTCTAAAAAAACATTTTTTTTCTTTAAAAGGGGGGCACTTCATTTTAAAAAAAAAAAAAAAGTTGAGAAACACTGGACTAGATGATGTCCTGTGGTTTCTTCCAACCCTAATCTTTTATGAGTCTACGCTAAGGTGGTTACAAACTTTCTCTTTTGAGAAAACAACCGATATCAGGGCATTATAGCTTCCCTTGCACAAAGATGTCCGCATCTGAGTACTAAAAGCTTTAAATGCACTGGTTAGAATAACTTGTTTGTACTCATATCTGATTTTGTTTGCTTGCTTGCTTAAATCTTAAAAAAAGTCAAGCAATGTGAATTTGAAAGGTTATATGTGCTATAATAAAGACAAATTCAATTTTGTTTATGTCAACTTGCCATTGAGAAATGCCTGATGGGTGAGATCTTGCTTCCTGCATGTATGAGACAGTATCAGATAGTAAATTTTGTTTTGCAGAAGCGCTCGTATCAAGTATTGGACTTAAGCTAGTTGGACCATATGATATTCTTGCTGGAAAACACAAAAGAGCAACATCAGCAAATCTCAACTTCAACCTTCACTGGAGGTTTTTTTATGATCCCCCTGAATTTCAGACTATAATTGCTGGGGATAGCAAAACTCAGTATCACATGGGATATTTCAGGTATTTCGTTTTAGATATGACCCTTCCAAAATGTGTATTATCTTTTTCTCCATTTCCACGAAGGTTAGCAGTGTAAGAACTGTGCACCATTGTCATATGCTAGAACTGTATTACCCCCTTCCATCAGATGACACTTCAGCCATCATCTTAAGTAGCTAATGTTATAGGATAAAATGTATTAAAAGGGCTGGTGGTGAGAATTAAAGATCTAAAAACCAAACAAACCCTGTATTTAATCATACTGTTCTGTAACTACTTCCATGATGTCCTGGAGCAAATGATTCCCCACAGCTGCGATTGGACAGGTCCCCGATTCAGCTGTTGCTGAAACTGACCAGCAGCTGACTCCGGGAAGCCCGAGGCAGAGCTTCTCTGCCTCGGGCTTCCTGTAGTCAGCCGCTGGTCAGTTTCAGCAGCGGCTGGCTTTGGACGCCAGTTCCGACTTACATACAAATTCAACTTAAGAACA